TTTACGACAGCTTCCTCTGGCTGGTCTGGGAAGAAAAAATTGGAGAGAGGTAACTGCCAGTGATCTCACTTTGCTTTTTGCCACTAGGCAAAACAAGACATCATAGCCCTTGTGGTGTTTCTAGGGGTGAAGTCCAAGAGGGTGTATTAAAAGAATTAGCGACAGCCAGGGATGTAGCTCAGTGGCACCACGCCTGCCTGGTAAGTGCAAGGTCCTGAGTTCGATTTCTGGTACCGGGGGGGGGGGATTACTGAGAGCTTAAACATTGTGTAAAATAACACATGGAATATGGAGTAGCTGTAGTGATACCATGTCTTCTTCTCTATATTAAAGAAGAAAGGAAGAAGACAATGAAGGGAGGGAGAAGGGGGAGGGAAGACCTGAGGGAGGAAAGGAAGGAAGGAGAGAAGAAAGGCAGGCTCCCATGCTGATCTAGAATACCATATAGAGAAAAACCCTTGAACAAGCCAGGTGCCTCACCAGTTCTAGCTCTGGTAAGACTCCAGAATGATAAAATTCCAACCTGGTCAAAGGATTGGAGTAGAAAGACAGCCTTGGGTCAACAGCAAGGTAATGAGCTAGTTCAGAAGACACCAAGACTTCCCAGATACATCCCCAGGCAGAGAAAGGCCCCGCTCAACCCAGGTGCAGGGTGCTGGGACACCTAGGAGGAGGGTGGTCTGGACCAATAACCATGGGAACCAGGAAGGACATCCAGGGATAGATAGGATATCATACTCAAACGAGGTGCCTGGAAACTACCTGGGGTGGGAGGACATGACTTTCATCTGTCTCTTCCGGAACAGGTTCTACAGTCACACGCACATGCCCATATCAGAAAGATACTTGGGTCTGAGCACACCCACATCTGAAGAGCATTGTGGCCCAGCCAGTCCCCTGGACCTCTAGAAACCACATCCATGGTCATTTTCTTATTCTGAGAAAGGGCTATCAAAGTTAACCAAGATAAATTACATAACATGGCTAAAAAACAAAACAACAACAACCAAAAACACATAGCCGCAATACATAACCAGCCAACTGGCCACAAAGAAGGTACACCAAGGGCAGGGTGGAAGAAAAGGAATACCAAGATATGCAATAGTGTCAGGCAAACTCCATTGCAGCTGATGCCAGTTTTAAAGAATACTAAGAATTCCCTTGTGAAACACATCCACTAGAAGTTTCCTTTAAATAAACGTTTTCATGGGGCATTTAAAGAAGACTATTTATTATACCATTTCTTGGGCTTCTCAACTTCCCTGGTAGTTCCTATCTTGGGCTTGTGATTGCTTTTTCCTGAGTGTAACCTCTCCTGCCTGCCACTCTTTCTCTGATCCCTTGCTCCCCCCTAGACCCAGCTATTCACTAAGGGTCCTTCCCTTTGGACTTCTTATCTCCTCATTATTTCTCCTTGAGTAACTTCCCCATCATTTCCTTGCATTGTCACCTGTGCTGATAACAATAGCTAATAATTATAAATGAACATTATATGCCAGTCATTGTGCTAAACTCAGGTTCAGTGCTTACAAGAGTCCTCTGGAGTACAAGCTGGTATCATCCCTGTTTTTTAAGTGGAAAAATGGAGGCTTGAACCTGCCCGAGGTCACCCAGCTAATACAGCTAGTCCACCAGAGCCCATGCTGACAGCTAGTAACTGTTCTGTTCTTTATGTGCCATGTGTTTTCTTGCCTGATACCCACTCCAAATCACAGAGCCATTGGGCTGGGGATTTAGCTCAATGGTTTCGCCACCTGCCGCACAAGCTTGACCCGAGTTCGATCCCCGGTACCAAAAACAAAACAAAACAAAACAAAAAAAATCACAGAGCCATCTCCATCAGACCCTCAAATCCAGAACGTCAACTGGCAGGCAGGGAGTATTCACTCACACGTTTACATTAGTTATCAACATGTCCCTGTTTCAGTCCCTGCTGCCTGGCACCTCTCCTCTCCCCTGAATATGCCCATCCTGCCAAGACTTCCCCATACGCAGCAGCCTGACATGGTGCTGGGGTGCTGGGGGGGGGGCTGGTGCAGAGAGGAGCTCCACACTCTGCTGGCCTTGGTCCTTGCAGGTGCAACACCTGACTAAATGTGAATATCACTACTGTCTCCTCCTCCTCTTGTCTCCCCAAACCAGTTCCTCCTGCTGACTTCCTTATTTCAGGGGCCCACACCTCATTCTCCAGTTCCCCTTCTACAAAGCCTGCTCCAGCCCTCTTTCCTTCCCTCTGCTGTTCTCTTTCAACTGACTGACCTAGCCTGTGGCTTTGACCTCTTTTATCTCTGTGGTTTCTTTCCCTTACTCTTCATGGCCTTCCCTTCCCCATAACCTCCACCCTGGAACAGACTCCTCTATCTCTGGTCCAGTTTCCTTGGCCTCTGCTGAATGCCACTCCCAGACCCTTCTTCTTCCATATCCTTGAGGTGAGGTGTTTAAGGTCAAAAGCTTTCCTCATCTCAAAATAGCCACCTAACTAGGCTTGCAACCTACATTAGAGTTTAAAGTCAAAAGCTTTCCTCCTCTCAAAATAGCCACATAACTATGATTACAACCTACATTAGAGCGCCTTAAACAGAAAGTACTTAATAAACATTTACTTAAATCTAGCAAACCAAAGATGTAAAAAAATTTTTAAATTGTTTTAAATCTAGTAAACCAGCAGGGTGTGGTGTTGCACACCTGTTATCCCAGCAACTCAGGAAGCTGAGGCAAGAGGATTCCCAAGTTTCAGGCCAGCCTGGAAGACTTTGTCTCAATATAAAATTTTTAAAGGGCTGGGAATATAGCTTAGTGCTTAGCTACAGCACTTGCCAAACATTCAGGAGGCCTGGGGTTCAATCCCCAGTATAGCAAAAATAAATTTAGTAGACAGATGCCCACTTGTGTTTCCAAAGTTTGCCTCCTTATCCAGTCCAACTTTCTCATCCTACCAGGTCCTATCTGCCTGATTCCTGGGTGTACATATGCCAAGCACCATGGCAGGCACTGGGCACTCAGCTGATGGTGACACTCGTGGTTGGAGTAGAGGAGAATCACAGAGTCACATAAAGAGTCAAATGACAGCCCATGACAAACGGGCTGTGCAGACTGCTATTCTGGGACAGTCTCACTCCCTGACCCTCTGGAAGCACTGGCTGAGCAGCTGGTCCCATGCAGACCTCAGATCAGCTCTAGGGTCCTGGGAATGCTGTTTACCCTTCCTACTGCTCAGTTTCCTCATCTGTACAGTAAGTGAACTACCCCACAATATGTTCATGAGGCTTAAAGGAATCACACATGTGAAGTGTTTATAGAGAAGCTTGACAGTCTATGGACAGTGATGGTAAGGATCATCACTTTTATTATTTGACATAAATGGTCACAGGAAATTAGAGACAGAAGATACCTTGGCAGACTGCCACTTGTGATCTCAGATAACTTCTGGGATTATAACCCAGAGAGTTCTCTCCCCAAGACCTGCACCCAAGGGCCAGGGATTTAGCTCAGTGGTTCTGCTGCCTGCCTCAAAAGCACAAGGTCCTGAGTTTGATCCCCAGTATCAAAAAAAAAAAAAAAAAGACCTCCACCCAAACTCTCTCAACCCAGACCTTATTCTACTCCCTCCCTGAGCACTCCTGCAGAAAGATATGCACATGGAACACCCGGGAAGGCGGGTGAGGACAGAGGCTGACGCTCTCACCAAGTAACAAGTCCTGTTGGCCTTTGGACCTATTTGACTCACTTGGTGAGGATCCACTATGTGCCAGCCTGTGCAAGGACGCTGGTGTTGAGAGTGCGCACATTTCCTGACCACAAGTACTTGTGTGCTACAAGTACTTCACCAAATTTGTTAACTGGCAAGTGCTATGAAGGAACAGAACTTGGGCTGTGCACCAGGGCTGACTGGGTGCCATAAGAAAAGCTTCTCAGAAGCCGTGACATTTGTGCTGAGATCTGAAAACTGGTAGACACTTTGAGGAGGGAAAGGCAGTCTGGCTTGCTTTTTCCCATGGTGCCTGTCACGGAACCCCAAAGTCCTGTATTGTACCTGAGGAAGTCCCAGGCCTCCTGTGAGGGCAGGATGTGAGGATGTTGACCCTGTCCGTGCGGCTGCCACAGCCCTTCACTGCACAGATGAGCAATGCCGCAGGAGGACCTCAAAAACTCCGGGAAACAAGACCTCACAAAACAGGGTCCACACTTTGTACCTGAGGTCCCACAGCCAGCTTTCTCCACCCAGCAGCCCACACCGGGGGACAGGATCCAACTAGGCAGCTGTGAAGTTCAAGGGGGGCAAGGAGCGTGCCAAGCAAGGAGTTGGGAGGCCATGGGCCAACTTTGGGTGTGGAACGTCTTGCTCCTGTCTTAAAGGAAGCATCCTTTGGACTTTCCCCTGAATTAGGGGCACAGACCCTTGAAGGGTCCATGGGGTGTGACAGGATGGGAAAAGGGAGCTGAAGAGAGGAAGGGGACAGAAACGCCTGCTGCCTACAAATCGCCCAGCCCTGGAGGGCTTCGACGAGCTCACCAGCTACAAGGGCCTCAAATGCCATTGGCATCCCTAAGGCACCCACGGGCCGGGGAGGGAGCGCAGAAATCAGGGCTGCCAGACAGAGGAAAGTTCCAGCCTTCCTAGGAAAAATCCGCTGTCGGCCTGGGGAAGCGCGCACCCTGCACCGCAGCTTCCCAGGTCTGCTCAGGCTCAGCCTCCGGGGTCACCGGTGACCTTCCCGGACGGGTCGCTCCTCACTTTGCGTCTCAGTTTTCATCAGAGAGATGAAAGGTCGATGCAGGTCCTCGGAGGAGAGCTCCTAGGGGCTCCGGGCCGGGCCCTGGGGACTGGCCCCCGGGCCTTGCGGAGCAAGGGAGAGCGCGCAGGGGCAGAGAGGGCGCGGCGCCGGGAGTAGCTACCTGGGCCCTGCCGAGCCGCGGGCGCACGGTCGCAGGGCCGGGCCGGACAGGGGCGCCCTCGCCGCGTTGGCCTCAGCCGGGGCGGGGCCGCCCCGCAGACTCACCCAGAAGTTGCTCTTGAACAGCGAGCCTGTCATGCCGGCGCAGGTCGGTGGGCGCGGAAGGAGGCCTATCTCAGCCCGCGGTCCGGCGCAACTTCTGAGCTCCACAGTGGCGCAGGGTGGCCGCCCCGCTCCTAAACCACGCCCGGTTCCGCCCGCTGAGCCCGTGTTCCGCGCTGCCCCACGCGCCACGCACTGGGAGGAGGGATTGCGGGTGAGGGTGGGGGCCCGGGACCCAAAGCGCCACGGCCACAGGCAACCTCCAGTACGTTAACCCGAAATCCCCCTCCTTCAGGGAGCCTGTGGGGATTGGAAAAACTGGTCCAAGTCTCCTTCCCGAGCTCTGCTCAGGTTCTGCCCACGGCCCCCTCGACCGAATCTCTGCGCAGAAATCCAGGTCTTCCGGGTGATGGAAGGAGCCCCGGCGCCAGGCTGCCCCGAGGGTGGTCGTGAGGACCCGGTTTAACCTCCCTGGAGCCTGGACTGACAAGTCAGGGAACACTTGAGGTGTAGACACTGAGAGGCACCCGTGGGTGGTTCAGGCCTTGCCGCACGTATTAGTCTAAAATGTCATGGCAGTTATCTCTGCTGTTTCCCCTGGACTCTAGTGGGGTCCTTACAGGTTTTCCATGAGCTCAGCTCCTCAGCCATCCGATTCCAGTGCTCAGGACCCAAGACCCTTCAGAAGTCCCACCCCAGTAATAGGAGGAGCCCAGGCTTCCTTCCTCTCCCACTACTCTTCCAACCTCATAAATGTAACCCCAGGGCAAGTCAGACCGATCTGTGCCTGGTAGTAATGACTTTGAGGTCAAAGTACTGCCCCATGCTTCATGCCTAGAGAGGCTGAATGACTTGCTCAAGACACAGTTCATTTAAAGGACAAGGAGGCCAGGCATGGTGGTGCACCCCCGTAATCCCAGCACTGGGGAGGCTGAGGCAGGAGGCCTGCTGTGAGTTTGAGGCCAGCCTATGCTAGAGTGAGCACAATGAGTTCAAGGCCAGCCTGAACTACATAGTGAGACCCTGTCTCAAAAAATAAACAGACAAGTAAAAAAAAAGGACAGGGAGATCAAGGTTAGAGGTCTGCCCTGCTTGGCAGGCCCAGATGCCAGACAGCCGTCACTCCTGGGCCAGATTTATCTCCAGCAAGGAGCAGGTGCTCAAGGAGTGGAGGGTAGAAGTCAAGGGGACCAAGACTGGCTCATACCCAGACCACAAGCCCAGACTTGGAAGGCAGATACTTCTGTTGAGCAAGTTCTAGCTAGAGCTAGGCACAGAGAAAGGGCAATTGCTGGGGTGACCAGAGGGACCTCTAAAACATTCTGCCCCATAACACAACCCCAAGTCCTGTTGTGGTGAAACTCCACTAAGTCATCAACAACTACAAAAATATAGCGCCGGGGATGTAGCTCAGTGGTTTCACCGCCTGCTGAGCAAGCGCAAGGACCTGAGTTCGATCCCCAGTACCAAAAAAAAAAAAAAAAAAACCTACAAAAATATAGAGGTGGCCTCCAGCTCTCAGTCACTCCAGAGATGCACAGCTGTTCACTTGTTGGTGCATATTCTCTGAAAGCATCCAGTTTAGAGGGGAAGCACCACGGGCAGGGGGCAGCAAAAGCCACGGTGAACTCCAGGACAGGGTAAACTGCAGATAATAAATTAACAAGCCCTTGGGGCTGGAAGGTGTAGCTCAGTGGTAGAGCACAACAAGGCTGAGTTTAAGTCCCAGCACCAAAAGAAAAATTTTTTAAAGGCCAATGTGGTGGCAAACACCTGAAATCCCAGCACTCTGGGAGCCTGAGGCAGGAAGATTGCAAGTTGCAGCCTAGCATGGGAAATAAAAAGGGGTAGAGAGGGCCGGGGATTTAGCTCAGTGGCGCAGCGCCTGCCCGGCAAGCACAAGGCCCTGGGTTCGATTCCCGGTACCAAAAAAGAAAAGTGAAAAAAAAAAGGGGGGGGTACAGATGTAGCTCAGTGTGAAGGCATCTAGGTTCAATCTCCAATATTGCAAAAAAGAAAAAAAAAAAAAAGGAAGAAAATTACCACTTTGGGGCAGTAAAAGAAGCTGAAGTGCCAAAGACATTATCAAGATTTTTACTGAAAGTTTTAAGTATTTGGAGCAAATTTTTTTTGTAGAAAAGCATTGATACATTTTAGATATACATAATGATAACATTCATTATAGGGAATTTGTCCCAGTACATGATACATCTTGCTTCTTTTTTTTCCCCATTACCCCCCTCCCTTATGTACAAAAGCATTGTTTCCATTTTTTGCTTCAATTTTCTTTTTTTCCTGCCCCTTTTGTTTCCCCCTCCCCCTCCCTTGTTTCCCTTCTCATTTGAACATTTTCTTCCCATTTCCCAATGTCTATTGTACATTTCAGTCCCTATTTCCACTTTTGGTTTCTCACACCAGAGAAATAATGCGGTATTTAAACCTGTGTGTTCAATTTATTTCACTTACAAGTAGGGTATCGAGCTGGGAATTTAGCTCAGCAGTGCTGCACCTGCCTGGCAAGCACAAGGTCCTGAGTTCGATTCCCAGTACCAACAAAAAAAAAGTATGATCTCAGGGTGCATCCATTTGGCTATAAATGTCTCAAGGTTATCCTTCTTTATGGCAAAGTATTACTCCATTGTATTAAAAAAAAAACTTTATTCATTGATCAGTTGATGGGCATTTGGGCTGTTTCCAAGATTTACTTATTACGAATTGCGTGGGGCAAATATTTCAGATGTGAATCTTATTGTCTATGTTTTAATTTTTCATTCATGTAAATTATTTTAAAAGGCGTTCTTAAAAAGTTTCATGGTACACTGTACCTTAATTTCCTCAGATCTGCAAGATTCCTGAATTTTAACTCTCTTCCACCACCACGTGGTAAAATTTTAAATTGCAAGTGGCTGTGCCTCTGGCCAGAAAATATTCCTCAATTATTTATTAAACTCATCTCTGGGGCAGGCACTGGGTTAATAAGACAAGAAAAATATATGCTATGCTCTAGGGATCTATAACCAATTTAGGATATTTTACTAACAAAATTAAATAATATCACCATAGAAAATATGCAATAATGAAATTAACTTCCCAGAACTTGTAAGATAACCACTGTAAATATTTTGGCACAATGCATGACTTAAGTGTATCTAAATTTTGGAGTTTTTTTAACTCAACTATTTGCAAAAGTTATTAAACATATTTTTCCTAACAAAAAGATGTTATGAGGTTTGCTTTTTTTGGGGGGGTACCAGGGATCAAACTCGGGTCCTTGCACTTGTGAGGCAGGCGGCAGAACCACTGAGCTACATCCCTGGCCCAAGGTTTGCTTTTTTTTTGAGATAGTCTTGCTATGTAGTGCAAGCTGGCCCTGAACTCATGGCAATCCTCCTGTGTCAGCCCCCCGAGTGCTGGAGATTACAGGAGTGTACCACCATGCCTGGCTCCCTAACAGAAACCTTAACAGCACAGTGCTGGCCACTGTATAAACATATAGACCCACTTGCATAAAAAAATTGAAAATCTCTGTGAAGAGAAATTCAGCCATGTCACCCAAATGTAAAATGCATCCATATTTTGACCTAACAATTCCATGTCAAACAACATACCTGTTATGGCTTGTATATAGATGTCCCCTCAAAGCCTCATATAGTCATAGGTGGGGGTTTTCAGAGGTGGCTGGATCTAGTGTGTGTGATGCTGGGATCAAGGGAGGGTGATTAGTAAATTAGACCACTAATTGGTTTGGCATAGTTCTGGGTGTGAATAATGGGAAGGCCCACCCTGAGTGTGAGTGCTACCTGCCCTAAAAGTGTGTAGCCTAGATAGAATATAATGGGCAGAAAGAGGGCTGCTGTGTTCCCTTGTTGCTGCTTGTAGCTTGGTGCTTGCTGCCTTTTGTCTGCCCTGCTTTGCCATGGACTGTTTTCCTCTACCATATCACCCTGCCTTGCAGCCAGCTGACTATGGACTGAAACTTCTACAAACTGTGAGCTGAAATAAACCTTCCCTCCTGTGTCAGGTATTTTGTCTCTGCAATGAGAAAAGTAACTAAGACACTATTCTTCAGATATATTCTCACATGTACACAGTGAAAGATGTATATAGTTTCTCATAGTGGCATGGCCACTCTGGCAAAAGGTTTGAAACAAATGTCCACTTATGGGGAACAAGCTCAATATATTGTGATATAGCCATACAATGATTTTTAAAATGAGGAAGCTCTTTGCATATTAGTATGCAACACTCACCAGATATGTCACTAAGTGAAAAAAAAGCAAGATGTAGAACAAGCTGTGACTTACGTGGGAAGAAAAGAATAGACACACATTTTTTTCCCCAGTACCAGGGATCAAACTCAGGACTTGTGAGTTGCACTTGTGAGGCAGGTGCAGTGCCACTGAGCTAAATCACCAGCCTCTAGACACACATTTTAAATGTTTCCCTCTGCGGGCTGAGTGACATAGGATGGAGGGAGACCTACTTTTCACTATATCCATTTTTAGATCTTTGAATTTATACCCTGTAGATTTATTAAAAGCAAAAATAAATCTAAAGAAGACTCTTCAATATCACTTTTAATTTTTGCATAATTTCTAATCAAGTGGCTACACCAATACTTACTCAGCATTTCCATATGGTTGTGATAAGTATCTTTTCTATAAATCTTTGTTAAAATTTCTCATAGCAGAATTATAGATCAGAGAATAGAAACAGTTTTAAGGTTCTTAAGGTATACTGTCAAATTGTCTTCCAGGAAAATTTTATCAGGCTGTATTCAGCAGAGTAAAGGTCTGCTCAGACTCCTGGCTTTTCAGAAACATTGGATAATTCCTGATAATTTGATCATTGAAATTGTCTCATTATGGTTTTAATCACTATTTAATAGAGTTTTTCATGATTTTTTTAGGCTATGCCCTTTTTAGGGAATTATCCACATCTTTTGCCTTTTATCTATAAAAGCCTTGTTACTTTCCTAATCAATTTGCCATCTTTGCTGCAAACATATCTTGCCCTGTATTTCATAACTTAGCGTGCTACCTAGAACATTATAAATATTCAATAAATACTCAGTTAAATGAGCTTTCATTTAATTAGGTTGTTTGGGCTCAGTTTTCATGTTTATGAAATCTTATCTGTTGATATTCTCTATGACTATTTCCCCTTACTCTTTTGTTGAAAAGTCCTTTCCCGGGGCTGGGGATTTAGCTCAGTGGTTCTGCCACCTGCATCACAAGCACGAGGACCCAGGTTTGATAC